GCGTTCGTAACTGCGGATCCGACATAAGTCGGATCCGTGTAAGTCGGGGACTGCCTGTACCCAAATTTTAAAATTCTCACTTGCAAAACTAATATTTGTTTTGAAGATCAGTAACAGAAACCTGGTGGGCTTCTTTAACTGCTTCCTTCACATACCTCCAACCTGATTGACTGAGAACATATATGTGACCATTAGACTTCCTGTACATCTGAGGTGAAAACAAAACCTAGTGCTTCATCTTATATATCAAACACCTTTCTTTAAAAATATAGCCTGAACTATACAAATAAAGCAGAAGAATAAAAGAGGTCACCCTCTGTAATCTCAACACTATATTTAGTATTACTTTTAATAATTTAAATATATTTCAAAGTAAATTTACATTTGTAGCCATAAAATAAATAATTTGGTAACAGAATGTACATAATATAGTATTCTGCAAATATTGACTTCTGGTTCTGGCCCAAAGCAAGATTGAGAATACACTGGGTCAAATTCAAATTAAGTAGAAGGTCCAGATCCAAAGGCCATTGAAATCAGTGGAAAGTCTCTCAGTGGCTTCAGTGTACTTTGGATCAAGATTTCTGTGTAGCTGTCTTAATTGACTCCTCACAAGGGCTGAATTTGGCTTGACAGATGTAAAGCAGTTCATCCCATGTACTGATGTTCTTAATGACTTGCATACATTTTATGCCCTCCAACACCATCCCTGCAAGTGGCATCATTTCCCTGTTAGCTCAGGTAAAGAGACCCAGCTCATAAATGCATGACCAAAAAGCATATAAACATCTGTACTTACAGGTGTCTGGCTTAAGCTGACTGTTGGTGATTCCGAAGTACTGGGGATTTTCAATGACAGGAATCTTGGTCATTCCAATGATGACTGCATCTGGGCCGCCCTCAGAAGAGGATGGAGTGTTACTTCCATTTGAAATGTGATGGAGGGGACTTGCCGAATCATCATCATTGCTGATAACTGAAGAAGGACCTAGAGTTAGAAACAAAGATGCCCCTGTAATTTGACACATTTTTCCCCTCCCTCAGCCACTTGCTTTGGCTGACCAGTCTGTTCTCAAACACCAATATCTAGAAGCCTTCTTTTTGCTAGTTGGTGTTTTTCCTGAGAGGATTTCGTATGTGTGTTGAGGGAGGTGGAGAATATATTTCATATGGGACAACAGAGGCTTCATTTGGTGACTCCCTTTTATGCACAAGACTCTTAGTTCCATAGGACCTAAAGCACTCAGATACTATGATAATACGTGTGTTATAAGTACCTATATTGGTAGATTACATAGATTTGATAGCACTAGATTCAATAAAGTGGAAGAAATATCAAAATGCAGGGAATTCTTTGTTGTTTCTAGCAATAAGTTACAAACTGTATTCACTGCTTGTTTGCATTAGTTCCTGCTACGTACATAAACATGTAAGGCTATCAAAAACAGAGGGATGTTTTTCTCTGACATAGCCTTATTGTGAGACAGGATATGTAGATGTGATGAATTCTCCCTGAGGAAGGAAGTTGCCTGAATTCTAAAGCACTAAGAGGTTTAAGCCAGAATTCAGACCATAGCAGGTACCGGGAAAATACATGACAAGGGCAAAAGGAAGGACTCCTCCCATTTCTTACCCCATGCCTCAGAGGGACAGTGGAGTCATTGTTCAAAGACTGTTCCAACCCAATGGAGCATAATGCTCCCCCTGGCAGCCTGTCAGAACCCAGTATTTGCATGGCCACTTCTGTTTTGTTCTCTTTGCATTTTATTTTCTTTATGATTAATTATTACTATTATTTTACAAGTAAGCCATGACAACAGGTGAGATGAAAAGTAGTAAGATTAAATAATTAATTAAAGGTTATGCAAATTGTGCACCTGCAGGGTATATTTAAGAGGCTTTGATTTTACATTTCACAGTATATTCAAGGTCAGAATAAGTAACCATGCAACCCAATCAGGGTTTATAGCTTATTTGCTCTCTTTCCTTTAATTCTGTGTATGCCACAGTTTGCACACCACAAGCTCAGAACGAATCACTGCTAAACTTCCTCTTCGCACTGAAGAGTCAGCTACAAAGTCACATTTTCAAATTGTGTGTTTTATGTGATTCTCCTTCCTTGACTGGCTCACAGTATCATCATGAAAACATTTTTATAATTCTATGAGATGGCTTCTAAGAAGGGAATGGATATGGAGATCACATTAGGAATTCTGCCTTTAAATAAGCTGTCATTGCCATTTTGACCATAGCCTAAAGCAGGGCTACTTAACACGCGGCCCATGAGCTATTTGTTTGCGACCCATGGCGCTGGGGTTGCTAGGTGTCCAGTTTTGAACTGGACAGTCCAGTGTTTGAACTTTCTGTTCGGGAAACAAATTGAGAAAATATAAATGAGAACATTTAAATGACCGTTATTTTCTAAATAAGATGTAATGTAGATTGTGATGTAATGTCAAGTATGTCCAGTATTTTTGTTGAAACCTTCTGGCAACCCTACATGGAGCAGTTTGGGTTTGTGTGGGGCTCAACATGGGCCTGCGGGTGGGATCCTTTGAACATGGCCTCCACTGGGACACTCCACAACAGTGAGGCATCTCCCAGGCAGGGTGAGCACTGCAAGATGCAAGCGGATGGGCTGGCTGGAACAGATGAGTACAGGTCATCAGCATTTCTAGCTCCCAGGGAGGAGGTGCCGCAAGAATCAGGGCATTGTGTAAAATAAGTTATTTGCATATATATGCATATCTATTTGCATGTATATGCAACCACACTTTAGTTGCAGCCCTCAGCATGTGCTATGAATATCATTGTGGTCCCCAAGGCTTCCAAAATTGAGTAGCCCTGGCCTAAAGGGTTCAACTACAAGAAAGACCCTGATTCTCACCCCAGCCCCAATTAAAATCTTGACTTTGGTTTAGCAGTCCATAAAGAAAAACTTTTTGTTTGAAAAAGTAGCTTTCCTCTAGCCCAAAACATCAGTAGTAACTTTTTTCAAATGCCTTTCACTTTGCTGGGAAGTCACTGTTGACAAGTTTAAGCAATGCACCAAGATCTCTGCAATTTATCAAGTGAAATACTAAGACTGATGCTGTTCTTGTCATTCCCGATATTGCAGATCCTTAGAAGATGAATGCTACTAGCAAGGCTACAAGGATTGTGCCTGTTTTTTTGGAGAAGATTTGTATCTAATGAAGTCCAGAGCCCAGCAAATAGTTGGGAGAAAACATTCCTTGTGACGGAACATTAGCTACATGTAGCATGTCATAGCATTATCTGAAATATGTATGGGTTTGTGTGTACATCTGTGCTGCTATAAACCTAATGGAAAATGTAGAGAAGAATGAAAAATCTTGCTAAAATTTTCAAGAAAAAAACCCACTCAGTCTCATGTCTCTGAACTTGCCATTTCTCAAGTCAATGTTACCACTAAGCTGTCAGACAAATACAAATTTTGATTGGAAAAAATGCAGTCCTTTTTATATTAATGTATTTTTAGAGTGAAGGGCCACATCTATTTTATTGCAACAGCTTGTAAGCTTTCTTAGCCACATAACTTAAGAGAGGTATTTCTAAGTCCTCTGCAGCCACAGCATTTTCAGATTGCATGAAAAACAAATCCCTTTGTCATTTGTTCATTCCTCGCATGTACACAGGATTGGAAGGAAGAAATGTACATTACACCATCAATAAGAATATAAACAGAATAGTAAAAAGGAAGGCAATCTGCTAATCACATACATTTTGCACAGATCAAGATTCTTCTATCTAGTTTTACATGGGAGAACAGTTTGAATTATTTTTTGAATCACTGCACGTTTCAAAGCATTGTGGTTAAAATGTGGCTGCTTTCTTCATAAATGAGAGTACTAAACTAAGTCAACTAATTAAACTGATTTTCCATGTTAAACTAATTAGATTTCAAAACATTTCTGATATATTTGAGCAATACCTAAAATATGAAGATAAATGCTAGAACACAGTGATTTGTATTATTGGTCTACTTAATCAAGGAAATCTTTTTAAATATTCAGTACAGGGAACTGACTGTAAGTTATAGCTCCAAATAAGCACATTATATTTACTAACCAGAAAAAGATAAAACAATGGCCTTTGCTTAATTTTAAAATACCCATTTCTGTTTTCTACACATCTGTTATATAGTTAAAAAATAATCAAAGAGATGGCAAGGGTTTTTTTACGTATCAGGAGACAAATACACTTACACCAATTCAAACATCCACTTCATCAGGGTCCACTGATAAATATGGCTACGTCAAGACTGCAAGCCTCTTTCGAAAGAGGCTTTTTTGAAAGTATCTTTCGAAAAAGCCTCTTTCGAAAAAGAGCGTCTAGACTGCAACCAGTACTTTCGAAAAAGCAAGCTGCTTTTTCGAAAGAAAGCACCCAGGCAGTCTGGATGCTCTCTTTTGAAAACACCGTTTGCATTCAAGAACGCCTTTTTTCGAAAGAGCACTTTCGAAAAAGGCGTTCTTCCTCATGAAATTAGGTTTACCGCCGTCGAAAGAAAAGCCGCGTTCTTTCAATTTAATTTCGAAAGAACGCGGCTGTAGTCTAGATGCAAGTGAAGTTTTTTCGAAAAAACCCTTGAGTCTGGACACAGCCTATGAGTAAATTGGTACACAAATTGTTTCGTTGCTTGCTTAGTTGACAGTCTGCTTTACCATTCCATTTCTGCATTGCTCTGACTAAAATTGCATTGCAGTTGAGGGCTAGCATGGCAGCTGACACTTCAGTGAAGTTTTCATTGCTGCATTTTCAGAATGCAATTTGAAAACAGCCACTCTGAGTTGGCAAGACCCTGGAATTGCCCTGTCATGAATCATTGATCCAGAGCACATATCAAAGGGTAATTTCTTAAACAGTGTCTAACTAGTGTATCATCCTGATTTAAGGGGGTCACCCAAAATTACTTGTCAAAGGCAGAATGAGCAGGGCAACCATTTGCTGATGCCTTTTATTGATTCCACTGTCTCAATCCAACTTTGGCTTCATACACAAAGTTAGAAATTGTTAAACAAAATGACTCCAATGGAAACTAAATTAATTGGCTGTCCTTTGCCACCGCTTCAAGAGACAGTTGCAGTTTTTTAGAAAACTCCAAAGAAAGACAGGTTTTCTCCATCCTGAAATGTTGTGCCTCATATCCTCATTGGATATACAGGCAGTCCCCGACTTATGCGGATCCGACTTATGTCGGATCCGCACTTACGAACGGGGTTTTCTCGCCCCGGAGCTTGCGGGTGGCGGGACCGCCCAGAGCGCACCGGTCCCGCCACCGCGTCCTCCGGGGCAAGAAAAGCTGCTCCGGGTCTCCCTGGTGTGTTGGGGGGGACTCCCCAGCACAGCAGGGAGACCCGAGCAAAGCCGCACAGGCGGCGGGCGGATCACTTATGTCGGATCCGCACTTACGAACGGGGTTTTCTCGCCCCGGAGCTTGCGGGTGGCGGGACCGCCCAGAGCGCACCGGTCCCGCCACCGCGTCCTCCGGGGCAAGAAAAGCTGCTCCGGGTCTCCCTGGTGTGTTGGGGGGGACTCCCCAGCACAGCAGGGAGACCCGAGCAAAGCCGCACAGGCGGCGGGCGGATC